AAGTGTGTAACGAATAGTTTCCACAGAGGTTTGTTTAACACGTAGTCAGTTTTGTGAATTTAAAACTGAGCTGTAATTCCTCCTTCAGGCACCTTCAGAGATTCTGGGGAGCTTCGGGAGATTTTTGGCAGAACTTGTGGACCAAGTTGTACGTGGCATACGAGGGCCACGACGCTTCTTTGTTCTTCCTGGGTAAGAAATAAAACCAGAGTGCAACATTGCAAATGACTGTGGATTTGCAAGCACTGCAGACTGCTTTAAACATGCAAATAACTTAAATGACCTCCTTTTGTATCATATCATTTAGGTGGTTTCATCAATGCATAGATTTTTTCCCCTATATTTTGGACACATAAGGTCACATTAGCCAGCACAGAGGAAAAATCATGTTTGTGGAGCACTAAGAACACATTAGTTCAGATTTCTCACTTGCTGTCTCACAGCGAGCAGCTTTTGCACAATAGGTGGTTTACCTCATTCAGATGTTATCTAAAGTATGTAGGACATAGGATGTGTGCTAGGTAGGGTATGTATTTTCAGTTCAGTGTTTTCAGTCCACATAACATCACACTATAATAATAACATCACTATAATAACATTATCAACTATAATATAAAAATTGGGCGACCGTGGTTCAGGGGGTTGGGAAGCTCATCTTGTAACTGGAAGGTTGCCGGTTCGATCCCCTGCTCGTTGTGTCCTTGGGCAAGACACTTCACCTACCACCTACTGGTGTTGCTCAGAGGTGATGCTAATAATGCGAAAAAAAAGTGATATGGCGGCCTCACTTGTGTCAGTCTGCCCCAGGGCAGCTGTGGCTACAACTGTAGCTTGTGAGAGTGAATAGTTGAATTGTAAAGCGCTTTGAGGGTCTCGAAAAGCGCCATATAAATGCAATCCATTATTAATAATAAAAAGACCAGTTATCCAGAATATCAAAGAACCGGCTTTGATATTAACTAAATACTATCAAAGCTAAAAACTCAACACACACCACGCATGAATTGATTCCCTTGTTAAGAAAGCTATCTGGACCTGGATTAGGGTGTAATGATATCATCAAGGGAATGTTTCCATTAATTTTAATTAATGAAAATAATAATCTCAGTGAATCATTCCAAAAATCTCCAGATCGAGTGATTAAGTTTTAGATCGACTCCAAAACTGAATCACTCCTCACCATGCTGGAGCAACACCTTTGGTGATATAATTTAATGCAAACAAACAAAAACAGCAGGGTGCACAGTGATGATGTCATTGTGGAAGATTTTGCCATGGATTTAACTTGAAATCTCCTCCTGGTGTGTTTGGAGTTGTGCGTAAATGAACGCATAATGAAGGCCCCGGTTGAGTTAAAGGTTCTCTAATAGTTATCTTATTTATCTCCATAGGGACCATGCTTGTTCCCACTCTGGCCTTTTGGGGGTCAAATGCTCTCCTGCTGTGGGTGGACATCACTGGCACACCGTCCTTCATCACCCGCTACCGTATCCAGTTGGACAAGAACAACCCAGTAAGCTTTTTTTTTTTTTAGATTTTGTTTTATCTGCACTGTTACTTGTTTTATTTTTTCATGCCATCTACGTAAAATGTACAAGCTTATGATATGATCACATGATATCTTTTTTTTTTTATGAGATTTAAAAATGAAAACAATTACATTTTAATTTCGAGTCCTGCTATTGGGCATGCTGCTGTAGGCCGCTGCTCTCCTTAAAGATCCACACCATGCGCGTGTGTGCAGATGTGGTTGATAACATCTGCAAACGATGGGGCTCTCCACATGCCCGTCTGACCAAAGTCCTCTAACTGTGTTTGATTAACAGATGTTGTCAGACACCGCAGAGATAAAGAGGGGCATTACTGATAACCAGGGGTTACTGTGAAAAGTGTCCTTGTTAGTGATTGTTTTTCCAGTGCACAAACTGGAAACTCACTTTACCCAAATGAAAGACTTCCAGTTTGTTGTTTTCCCCCTATTTTCTCTCGTTTTCCCATCAGCGAGTGTGTTATCGCTTCAAAAATCCCTCCTCCTCTGATTTGCATGTACTCAGTGGAATTTGCCGCTGTTACAGCTTGACATATATTTCTGCGGCCCTTAAATTTTATATCTTTAATGATGAGGTAATCTGCGAAAAGCTGCTGTCACAGTGTTTCTCTGTGACTCCGAGCAGAAATACTGCAGGTCAATGATCGAGAATAGCTGTCTGAACTTGGGATCTACTGGTCATAAACAAACCAGGATGTGCTATAATGGAACAAGATTATAAAATTGGGTAAAAGTGCTTGTGTACTTTAAAAAGCAATATAACTGGTTAAGAATGATAAAATTATATGACTTTATCAAGTAATGTAACTGTTTATCTAAATTATCTGATCAATGTGTAGTGATCACACATTTGCTTTAGAAACTGCCAAATAACAAGTGCATGTCACTGGTGAATGAGAAGAGCTGTAAATTTGAATGTATAGTCACACTATCTCTAAGTGTAGGAACATTTATTTATGTTAAAATTAGCATTTTGTGGAGCTATTTACACTAGATGATAAAAAAATCAATGTAATCTACTATAGGTAAACAGCTAATTCAGCATGATAGTTATCTTAAGGGACTTTATACTATAACGCAAACACCCTGTAGATTATAGGGAACCAATGTTTCCCTTGGCAACAGTGGGGAGAAAAAAAGGCCTTTCTAAATGGAAGAGAGCCACACTCGTGGAGCTATCTGCTGCAGCTGGTTCAAGTAAAGGGAAAAAGATGTCAAATAAAAGAACATTGAGAGAGAAAACAAAGAGCATTCGATAAAGAGTCTGCACAGAAACAAAGTCTGCTGTTCAGAGAGCGTGTGTGCGTGCATGTTATGGAAAACACACAGATGTACAAAAGGTCAGTGTAAGCTTCAGAGACACACTGTTCTCACACTCTGGAAAGTTCATTATGACATGGCATGAGTTTATAACTGGGTTCCAAAGGTTGGAGGTAAAAGGGTAAATTAGCTGATACAGATATCCACTCAAAGACCACTTTATTAGGTACATCTTACTAGTACTGGGTTGGACCCCAACAGAAAGGCCTTAATTCATCATGACAACAATTCAACAAGGTGCTAGAAGCAGTCTGCACAGATTTTGGTCCATGCTGACATGATTGTATCACTCATGCACATCCATGATGAAAATCTCATGTTCAATCACATATCCAAAGCTGCTTTATTGGATTTTTAAGATTATTATTAAGATCTGGTGTGGAGGCCATTTGTGATGTGTGTTATCTTGCCGAACGCAGCCATTGGAAGATTGGTACAGTGTGGCCATAAAGGGATGGGCATGGTTGGCAACAATACTCATCTTGCTGATTTGGTACCGAGGCACTCTAAACATACTGAGAAAATGTCGTCTAGGGCTTTACACCACCACCACCAGCCTGAACCGTTGATACAAGGCGGGATGAATCCATGCTTTCATGCTGTTTACACTGAATTGTGACCCTTCCATCTGCACATTTCTGTAGAAATTCATACCAGGAAATGCTGCTTAATGGATATTTTCTCTTTTTCACACATTCTCTGGAAACCAGTAGATTGGCAGGTTTCAAAACACTTTATGCCTTATTCAAAGTCACTTCAGTCGCCTTTCTTCCTCTTTCTGAGAATGAACTTCTGCAGATCATCTTAACCATGGATAAATGTGTAAATGCACTGAGGCGCTTTCATGTGATTGGCTGATTACATAAGTGCATTAATGTGGTTGGACGGGTGTACCTAACAGGGGGTGTCAGATGAGAGTATAAAGACTTATTTATAACACACTTTGCAGCATAAACAGAAACAACAGTATGGAAAAGGATAAGACATGAAATAAGAATATATATCAAGTATTAAGTGAAGATGATTAAATATGCATGATATAGATACAAATAGAAAGAACTGGTCTGACCTTGTTATTGGTCGTCTTTTAAAGAGAGAAGCTTTCAGTTTTTAATGTTTTCCTCTCTTTATGAAATAAAAAGTGTCTTTCAAATGAACGCAGTGTCATGCCATGTAAATTACATTTGTCAGTGGAAAGGGAAGCTTGGTAGTTTGAATAGTTTTGATACCTCTTTTGACCTCTTCATTTGTCTTCCAGGTGGATCCAGCTAAGCTGCGCCAAGCCTTGAAGTGTGTCCTCTTCAACCATGTGGTAATCTCCGGGGCCATGACTGTGGTTGTTTACTACCTGATGAGCTGGAGAGGAAACCCCTGTGGCCCCGAGCTGCCCACCTTTCACTGGGCCCTGATGGAGCTGGCCGCCTTCGCCATCTTGGAGGAGATTTTCTTCTACTATTCACACAGGTAAAGAACATTTATTTTTTTACTTTAAACACCCATGACACATCAAAATGAAACATGCAATCAGTGGATCGTTGGCAGTAGATGACATTTCTTCCTCATTTCAGAGATGGAGGCGATTGTGATGTTAACAGTACGCTGATCTGTGTTTCTTTCAGGTGCATGCAGTCACTCTGTTTTATAGTTATATACTGTTTTAATTCACCATGTTAGATTTTTAGCGACAGGACATGGACATTAGGTGCGATCCGTATAAACATTGTTTGTAGACTCACCCTACATAAAGCAATGCAGCCTGCAACATCGTCTATCAGCGTTAATCCGATTTTTCTTATGTGAGCTCAGAGCCTTTGCCAGGGCACAGTACAAACCTTGACGCAGGATAGGGTGCAGTCGTTTTATGCGTTCATTTTGTTTCTTTGATTTTCCTCAGGCTGTTCCACCACCCCAGCCTCTACAAGCATTACCACAAACAGCACCACGATTGGACCGCTCCCATCGGTATTGTCTCCATCTACGCTCATCCTCTGGAGCACGTGGTGAGCCTTCCTCTTTCTCCTACTCAACAAAAAGAAATGAACCGTTTCCCCTGTGAGTGTCAAAGCAGCTGGAACTATCTCACGTAAACCAAACAGATTCTTATTTATACCTTTAGGAATCTGGTCAGACCTGATCCTGAAAGAACTCTCTGCACTCTTAGCACAGTTAGAGCTGAGCGGATTAGTCCCTGAAGTATCCCTGCTGGCTCCGTGATTGCCACTGTAGTTGATATTTGTGTTAAACAGCAAAAATGGATCAAACGTGCAGATACGGATCACACGTGTACATTTGCTGTAAATCACAGAGACTATTTCATCTTTAAATATGCAAGAGAAGAATAAAAGAAAGAAAGAAGAATTGATAATTCACACCTCAAAGTCTCGCAGCACTTTACTTCTGCTAAGGGTAAGTGTGTTTCTGTTAAATGTACTGAATTGTTCTCTGCTGTTAGATCTCCAACTTATTGCCGGTGGTAAGCGGGCCGGTTCTTCTGGGCTCCCACGTGTCCACCACCTCCATGTGGTACTGCGTAGCTCTGGTCAGCACCACCATCTCCCACTGCGGATACCACCTTCCTTTCCTGCCTTCTCCTGAGTTCCATGACTTCCACCACCTCAGGTGAGTTTACCTGTCCTGTCTTACAGAGGTCCTGTTCTGTTGTTTTGAAGGTGATATCTTAGAAATGCTGCTTAAAAGTTTCTTTAACTGGTGCAAATGTTCAGTTGGACTCAAACAGGATGTCACACAAAAGTCTGCTGGAGAGAAATAATGATGACTTTGCAAATCCGAAAGGTCAAAGTTCACAGTAACTCGACCGGATGGGAAGGCGGTGATGCTGGTACAGTTATCTTGTTTAGATAAGACCCGTGAAGGCACACAGAACCTTCACGTGTGCAAAGACTCGGGTGAAGCTACTCCAAAAACTTTTACCTCGACGAGATGAAGCTGATAAATGTATAACTTTGAAAAGGCAATGTTATGTACTGCACTTTGTACACAGTGTTACTCATACAGGAGAAAGTAATTATGTACAGTCTGGGAAGTCTTTCCATGTGGCTTAATATGGCATAAGCAAGACACCAGATTAAGTAAAAAATATAGTATCTTGGTGTTTATGCTTGTATGACTGTGTGGCTCTGAAATGATTTGTAATAGTTAGTGGGACAGCACTGTAGGAATAATCCACTATCATTGGACAATTAAATCAATGAAAATGTCCCATCAAGAGGAAGACGAGTAACACTGAGTTGGGGAAGATGCCAAATTACAGGAAAATGCACAAGAGTATTTGTTGTGGCATGCACTCTATAGCTGTAATATTGTAAGCAGAGATGATATAATAATAATAATAATACAGAGAATTCCCCAACAATCAGATGAAACCCTAAGAGCAAGCACCTGGCGACAGTGGGAGCTAGAAACTCCGTTTTAACAGGAAGAAACGTCCTGCAGGACCAGGCGATGACCGGAGGAAGAAATGTTACTGCGTTTCCCCACATTTATAAATTCTATGCAAATGTGAGTTTGCTTCACAAAGCAGAATGTAAAAGCTTCAAATTAGTATCTGAGTTTTCACTTTGATACACAACAGCACTCATTGTGCAGTGCAGTGAGGAGGACAAACTGAAGTCCACTATTATTCAGCTTTTTATAGGTTTCCTGTAGTTGAGTTGTTTAAAACTTAAATCTGAATTTGAAAATTATTATTATTGGGGCAATTGTTTCTAATTCTGCTTGGTGGATAACTAACAGTTGCCCTCACTTGTCTCGGTTTTCAGGTTCAATCAGTGTTTTGGCGTTTTCGGCATCCTGGACAGGCTCCACAGCACAGACAGCAAGTTCCGTCAGACCAAACAGTACGAGCGCCACACTCTGCTCACCAGCTTCACCCCGCTGAACGAGAGCATCCCTGACACACAAAAGAAGGGCCAGTGAGGACTGCAACGGTCGAATCTTATGCGGGGATATGTAATTCCCCAATCGATCTTAAAAACTTTGATTTTTTTTTTTAATATTTTGAATCTTCAGTCAAGTTTGACTGTCAAAGTTTGCCGAGCCTCTGCAGTCACCCACCTGACTTTTATGTGCTAGTGTGTGGTCATTGCACTATAACATACAGATGTGATTTTACTTTTAAGCTCGGTTACCTGTTAATTTTTAACAATAAAAAAGAAAGAAAGAGAGAAGTCAGGATGGAAACAAGCTTTTCCTTTTTCTTGTCCGTTGTCTTGACATTTGCTTCATTTCACATCTTTGAGTTTAGTCTGAATTACAGTCATCGGTGACTTAAGCTACAGCACATTTGAAGTCTTTCTGTGATTAACGGGGTGAAAGCATGCAAGACAAATGTGAATGTTCCTGTTTGATGTATCTTATTGTACTTTTAAATGCAATCGTTAATTTCTAATGAATTCTTTAACTTCTTGTAAGTTTAGTAAAAGCACTTTCACCCATTCAGACTCTTCTGTTGCGTTCACTGACCACTGGGACAGACGAGAATCTGTATTCTTTGGCAAATGACAAGCAATTCCTTTGCACTTTGCATATCTGTGGCACTTATACTTTCAGAATATCAATGTCTTTTTGGATTACCAAAAAAGTGATTAATACAAATGTAACAAATGTTCTGATAGAACTGTTTAATATTAAAGTATTAAAAAAAAGCATGTGGTCTTTCTGTGGGTTTCATAGACAATAGGAATGATCACATGACACCTGGTGTTTGAGGTTTTTTTGTGCGTTTTGTGGTTTTTTTTCTTTATTAAAGGAAAAGCATAATTACTACAAATTACAAATAACACTAATAGCGAATCACGTCAGCCTACAAAGCAGATATTATGAATATTAAATGTTATAATACAAGATCTCATTCAAGTATTTTACATTTTTCCATTTTATATATTTTTTTGTTCCTTTTTTCCTCGTTTTCATCTTTTTTTCCTCATGACAAGCCTAGGATACTGTAATGTAATGAACTATTGATGTTCATATACAGTTATTTCTTATTCATATGGCTTTATGGAATTTTGTCCTCCCAGTCTCCAGACATCATAACCAGCCATATTCCTCTGAGCGACATCACATCTTGCTCAGTTTCCTCTCTTCCTTCCATACCTCCATCTTTTATCCCGCACAGCTGGGAACTCTGACCAGCTGAACAGGCAGCGCCCCCTAGAGTTTATATGGACAGCAGCAGTTCAATGCTGATAGAGATGGATGAAAACTCCCAAAGCACCTGAATCCCCTCAAATGTCCCGCGACGAGTGATGATCACATCAAAGGCTTTGCCGGCTTTGGGAAACGAGTTTTCAGTTCTGAATTATTTCATAGCTCTTTTTTTTCCTCCTCTCCAGTAAACACTTTGATGTTTCAACTGAAACTGATCCAAATCTCCCTGAAGATAAAAGATTAAAGGGGAGGGTGGGCAAAAAATAAAATAAAAAGCAAGTACAGCTTCACTTTGCATTTAAATACAACTCTAAATTTAAGAGGAAGAAACTGAACAACATAACACTGACAGGACAATGTGATATCCACCTCTGCCCCCCCCCCCAAAAAAAAAGAAAAGAAAGACAGGCACAGGTGTCTGATGCAGTTTCAAACTGAAGTTATGACTGGAGCAAACATTAGCTACAAGCACTCAGTAGGTCAGCAGGAAACACTTCTTCCCACATGTCTATTTTCACATGTGCATTTTTTTTTTTATAATTTCTTTTAACTAGAATTTGATGAACTTCTGGTTGAGTTCAAACCCAAAAATCAAAGAATTTTCTTCAGTTTTTTTAGACTTTGCATACATTCTAATTGTAGAAAAACTGAAGGCTGCATAAAAGAGTAATATTAGAGATTTTTCTCTCATCTTCACTAAAAAGAAAATATCAAATCAACTGATTTCAACATGAAACACTAGAAGCTTACACATTATTTTTCGTTTTAAACATTGAAGACCCGTTGACGCCCTGATGTCAACTTTCCCTTTTGCGATGTGAGCTACGTTCCCATTTCTGTTTTTATATCAGCCTGACACAGAGCGCTCCTCCAGCATTACAACACTACAAACACTGCAAATTGAAATTAAAATGCATTAAAGATAAATCATGAGACCATTAAAAAAAAGTTAGAGTACGTACACATGTAAGGCAAATATATATCTGTACTATAGACAATAAAACAAGAGGTGGGGAGCTGTTATCTTTTCTGTTCATCTCTCAAATTTCACATTTACACTCGTGGAGGAAGAGTCGCTCTTCTGCTTGATATCATCAGATTTAATAGTCCTGTACGAAGAGTGACGACTCAACAGGTTGTGAACAAACAATCCAGTCCACGGTGAGGCAAGACATCGAGCGGTGCGTTTTCTACTGAGCGTGCCCACGCTGCTACATCAGTACCTGCCTGTCAGTGTTTTTGCCTGCACCTTACGTTTGGATCCGTGTGAGAACCGGGAAGCGGTGGCGGGCAGCTCGCTGAACGTCTTAGCATCGTTAGTGTCTCCACCCAAAGCACCTGCGTCACAGGACGACGGTCTTCTTTGTAACCATCGCCTCTTCAAGTAATCCAGATTGTAATGATTTCCAGTCCTGTAGCGTCACTGATGATCAACTGATGGATGGATGGATGGATGGATGGATGGACAAACGGATGGATGCAGCTCATCTGACGGGAAGGTGAAGGACGACAGAAAGTCAGGTAGCACCCAAAGGGAGATCAACCCCAACTCTCCATCACGTTTAAGTGTTTTATTTTATTTTTTTCGCGAGGGGTGGGGCGCTGACAAACTTTCACCAGGTTGACGTGTTTCAGCACAAAAAGCCACAACTTGCAATCACAGCGATGAATTACAGGACTTGTAACAGACCAAATGACACTTGGAAGACAGATGAAAGGGGACTGAGGGGGATGGAAAATAAATTTGGCAGAGAGCACCAACTAGTGGCCTCAGCTGGAAATGGTGGTGAGATATATGGGTGACTGATGCTGTACAATCGACAATAAGGTGGCGGGCACAACTTAGAAGCAGTAAAACCATTAAAATAAGGCAACTTTCAATGATCTTGTCCATAGCAAGGGCTTGATGCAAGTCTCTCTCTCTTTTTTTTTTTTTTTTTTTTTTAAATCATTTGCTTCCTTAAATATTTTCCCCCTCAATGTGCAGCCATAAGGTAAATTATTTTTTTCATATATTAGCCCTTTGAAAACTCTCAGGGCGCTGCGGATGAAAAAGTTAGTTGCTCGGTTCTAACCACTTTGGTCCGACTGGATGTCAAAGAGCAGTACGGCCTCCAGCGGGCCATTACTGGGGCTTGTTTTTGTGTTTTTTTTTAGATGCTCAGTCTTGTTCAAACTATTTCCACATCTCAAATTCCACTTCGTGCTGAAGAAATAGTCATCATTAATCTGAGATTCGGATGAGGGATCAAAGATCTTTCAACCAGCAGGACAGTGACGATCAAAGAGGGTCCCAGAGACAGGGAGGGAGGGGCCAAAAACAAGGAGGGAAGAAAAAAATTTTTTTTTCCAGAATGTTAAACCTAAACCATCCGGCGAAGGTCTGCACAAGTGTTTTGCAATGGATGGGTTTGTCGACCCATCCATTGCTTGCCTCATTAAGACAAAAAGTTCAGAAACCTTAGCAGTGATCAATAAACCGAGGCATATTATTTATTGTCTCTCTTATTTATCAAACCTTTCACAGGCGCAAAAACAAGGAAAAAAAAAAAAAGAAAAAAGATATCACATGCTTGAAATGAAGAGCTGGATGCCCCTCCCCCTCCTGTGGCGCAGAGAGAACCGGCGACTTGCAGACTTGGTTAATTTAGTCTGTGTGGGCCAGTGTGTTTGTGGAGTTACTTCAGTGTTTTGGCATTTGATGCGGGATCAGCAGTGGGAGCCGGGGCTTTGTGGCTGGTAGGTTTGGCATCATCCTTGGCTGTGGGAACCTGGGTGGTGGTGGCGTGGGTGGGGCCTGAGCTGGCCTGACTGTGGGGACGGCTGGAGGGCTGAGAGGGGTGCCGGCGGCGACCATCCCCACTGGACGAGTGTCTTCGGCGACTTCCTTCCTCCATAGGCGGCTAGAAGCAGAAATAATCGTGTTAGATAACACGCCTAAGGCAACAACATGCTGCGCTTCAAAAAACCCTTTAAGCTCTTATTGATACAAACAGGAGAAAACTTGAAGCACGTAAACTCCTGATAAAACAGATAAAACCTAGTGAATCAGCACCAAGGACAGTATCTGTTTCCGTGGGACGCCTCAGTCAGTGAGATCATGATAACAGTAGAAGGAAACATGCAAACAGCTTCTGCTGCTCAGGCTCAACTCCATTTACACATTTCACTTGCATCCATTTGGTCCGACTTTCTGTTTTCCTTCCTGTCAGTAGACGCATTGTGAGACCATCATCCTAAATCGAAATGTTGTTTGTTTGGAAGACACCCAACTTTGAAACTGTCCACAGTGTGACATAGGACCACACATCTTTCATGCTCATCTTCTTTCACCTGTCAGAAGTCACATCATCTTCCTGAAGTTAGTTCGTGAACCAATTTTAGGCTCATCTTAGCATTTAAATATCATCAGGTTATATCCTTTATTATCACAGAGAGCTTAAATCCGATATGACACTTCATGTGTGACCTCAAATCTTTTCAGGATAATTTCTTATGAACTTTTGTATCTCAGTTAATCTTTCTTACCTAAGAACTGATCATCGATACTGGAAGTAAGATCATGTCTCTTCAGCCCTATTATACACCTTACAGCCTGCTTATACCTACAAACTTCAAAGAATATTTAACTTACGTCGATTCTGAAATCTTCGAGGCGTTTAAACTTGCTCAGGCACTCCTGCAGCTTGGGTTCAATCTCCAAGTTCTTGGCTTTGGAGTATTTAAGGAAGGCCCAGAACTTCTCAAGTCCATACAGCTGCCCTGTGGTCAGAAAACAAATGTTGTTAAACGTGACTGTACAGAAGACAAGAGCTTGCTCATATAAAAATCTCTGCTGAGGTGCCCCTGAGAGTGTTTTAAGGTTTCCTCACCAGCTTCGTAGTCTTTCATGGTCTCCTCCTGGAAGTCCTTAAAGATGTCTGGTCTGAACTTCTTCTCTAGACCGTAGCTGTAGTACCTGAACAAGCACTCTAAACCGTACCTGCAACACATAAGCGCCAAGAGAGGAAACAAGAGAAATTAGATCACACCGAGCTTTGGAAATAACAAAAGCTAGATTCAGACAGCTGCACAGAGCCCGTTTCCACTGTGCTGCCAAAGCTTTACATCTGCTCTTCTCCTCATCACATAAATCCAACTGTCTAATAGTAATGTCACTGCTACATACACAGATTGCAGATCTTACCTATATCCTTCTTTTCCATCCTCGACCACCAGCTGTCTGAATTCCTCGTACATTTTCCTGTTGAAGTGGTCCCGCAGGAAAAATGACCAGAATCGGAAGAGCGTGTTCATCTCCTGCGACTGGCCGATTCCCAGCCGTTTCCGCTCTGT